AAATTGACCCTTATGATTGGTTTTGTGGTCCAGGGTCACATATGTGTGTGTGTGTGTGTATGTGTCTGTTTTTGCAGGAAGCTGCACAGTCAGGTGGGAGAACCGCACCATGTACTGTGTCGTCAGTGTGTTTGCAGTGGCTATTGCACTATGAGCAGGAATCAGGGCTGAGACATGCACATACACACAGACACCAAAGGGCAAAACCACCTTCGCTCTGACCATCACATCCTCATATCTGGCTAAGACTTAAACCAACTTGTGTCATGTTTTGCCTATTCTACAAAATTTAGAACGTATTGCTAATGCATATTGGTGTAAGATAACATTGTATGTTTATTTGTTTTTTTATTTTAATTTATTTTTGGGGGACTTTCAAAGGTAACGTGCACCTTTGCTCTGTATAGGATGAACTGCAAATATGTTGATGCTTAATTATTAAAGTGGTCTGATTTGGGTTTAACAATCCAACAATGTTTGATGATGTTTTTTTAGTCTTCAGACGTCTGAGGCATTTCCCATATCTGAAAATATATTTAAACTCTGAACCACATGCAAAATATGAGGGGGAATTACAAACAATGCAAGGATGTCACTTCATGGCATAATACATGTTGAACTTTTTTTGGGGGGAACTGAAACTAAATCTAAATATCAACTAAACGAAATTGAAGTCCATCTATACATCCCACATAGAATTGCTGTACAACGTTAAATAATTTCAAAGGGAGCCCACTATAACACTTTATTCAATTCAGTATTTGACTTTGTTTTATAGTGGTGTGCCTTTTATTGTAACATTATTTTACTTAATCAGGAATTGATCTTTGGTTCCCCGCCATATTGCTTAACTTAAAAATTTCATAAGGTTTACTGAACGTGCACTTAAGAAAGAAGAAGCAGGATTGGTTTACACCAAAACAGTAAAATAACACATTGATCTTTATAGTACATAAAAATAAATTCTGCTTCGTGCACAACCATGATATATCTAGACCAATAACACAACATCATAATAACAAGCTTACACTGCAAAAAATACTATTCTTAACAAGAATTTCATTAGTATAGTAAATAAAAAACTTCAAAAAATCTGCCATTGCAGTGAGACAAAATCTACTTACACTCAAGATACAATATTTGAAAACAAGTCTGAATATCTTATGCAGTGGTTTAAGGATTTTTCAGTATTTTTTCAGCTCTGATACATATGAGTTGACACTTTGAAGCACATCAGAAGTTTTCTTTGTTGAATATAAACTCAGTTCCAGATTCAGTGTGTGAAATGCACTGCTTTCCCAGAGCTGTGGCCAAAGCCATAGGACCACATAGAAAAACGCCTACTTTTGAACTGAAAGAAAGAAGACGAAAAAATATGACTTATTAATGCACAGCAAGTGTAGAAAGCCTTAACACTGCTGTTATTTACCACACTCTACGTACCCTGGGTGTTGGGTAGCAATGGCACTGAACTCATTGTCCCAGTTGGGTTTACCGTACAGAGTCTTCTGCTTAAGCCCAGTAATGGGATCATCTTCCGCCTCATATTGAACTCTAAAATGGGCCGCCTTTAAACAGTAATCAAAATGAGTGCCAAAGTATTTTTTTGTATTTTAGGGAAGTTAAAATAGTTCACAATGTCAAAAAGTATTTTCGCCCACCTCAGCATCCTTCCAGCGCGTTAGATAAATGTTGTAACTAAGGAAATCGCTCATGTCTCTCTCCATCATCTGTCTTTCCAAACTCTGCAGCAGGTCTGCAAACCATTCGAAAGCCTGTGTCTCCGGACACAGCCAATAGAAATAGATCTGCAGAGGTCAAGGTTCAGAACATTACATGTTTAGCTAAAATATGAATTAATTCTTTAAGGCAAGACACTAAAGACAAAACCACAGTTTTTTGAGGTTCTCGTCAATTTTGAGATTTTAGGCTATTTTGCTTCCGTAACTTGACTTCTTTCAAACTAGTGGAAAGAAAACATCACACATTTAAGTGTTTATTTTATTACACTTTGTCTATTTGCATCTATAGAGTTGAATTAAAATACATATCTTTAATGGTTGTTTCCTCTAAATGACTTTTTTTCCTCATGCACTGAGCTATAAATCTCCACTTCAACTTCGCTTTTATAAATTCACAGTGTGTGACGAAAAACTATATTAAAAATCCCCAGTGTAAAAAACCTTTAACTCCGAGATGTCAACAAAATGTAAAGTGTTCACACTTCTGTTCTGGAAATGTAAGCAAATTAGTACATTTTTAATTAGATAATGCCTCGATTGCAAATCAATTCCAAAAACTTGTATTACATAAGCATTTAATTAATGTACTGCGAATATTCCACTGTAGAAGTATGGTGATATCTACTACTAACAATTTTTACCATATTCACCTGTAGTGTTTTCCCTTAAAAGCTATGACCCTAAAGCTGACATTTATGAGCTTTAATGAATAAGACTACAAAATAAACATGGCATCTGCAAAGACAACTTAGACAACTGACTAAACCTTGTGCTGTTTATCACCTTTTTGGTGAAGACATTTTTGTTCTCCTGGACGTGTTTGTACCACACAGACTTCAGAACAGAAGCGAAAGGTGTCACACCAATACCAGCACCGACCAGCATCACAACTTCATAACGAAAGACATCCTCACTGGCCGTCCCAAATGGCCCATCCACAGCCACCCTACACAGAGAAAAACAGACATTATGCACAGCAAACTAGCAAACTGTACATCCTTTGCAGGACGTTCCAAAGGAATAACTGAGCATTGTGTTCTTCACTTATCATATTAGTATTTGTATTCTTTCAGTTCTCTACTGCAGGAGGAAGAAATTAGGAAACACATAAGGAGAAATAGCAAGAAAAGTTCACTCATGTTGAAATCAACACATTGCTACTTGTCTCTCCACACTTCTCGTTTTCTCAACTACGATTGTACACTCACATCCCTTTTTTACTTTGTATTTTCCCATTTTACAAGTGAGACTCACAAGTACTATTAAAAGCACCACATCTGTGTTATTCAAGAAACGAACCTGACATTAAAAAAATACAGTTCTTTTTATCATCGTTAATTCACCCTTATGTGATTCTTCTGAAGATGAAGATGTTTTAAAGAAAATTCTTGTCCATACAATGAAAGTCAATGGGCTCCAAAACAACATTGAAATTCATACAGGTTTGGAACAACATGAAGGTGAGTAAATGCTGACAGAATGTTAATTTTTGGATGAACTATTGCTTTAAATTACTCATCTGTCACTTTAATCTTACTTTGGTAGTGTCCAAGCATCCAGCACCACGGTTTTGTCACCTCCACAGGCCGTATAAAGGGCTTGTGTCCAATCTCCAACAATTCGGATATGCACGCTTAAGTGGTCTTCCTCCGGGGCAGAGGTCAAGGTAAAGGGATGCCACTCTAGCTGAGAGATGGACGGGCACTGGATGAAAACATACTGACCGACCTCCATCTTAAAGCCCTTCTTCTTCATCTGCAGCTCAAGGGTCTTGGATGGGTGCATCACTACCTGTAAAGTGACGTAATACAGTAAGAGAGGAAGAAATCTATTGGTTGCTAATCAAATTTTGACTGACTAACCTTGGTGATAACCACTTTCTGCTGTGAGCGATAGAAGCGCACCAGTCTCTCACATACATATAGAATCATGGGGCCAACCACCCACTTCCATGTCTGTAAGAGAAAGTACATGTTTTTGAGATGCATCAAAATGATTAAAGAAATGCTAGATGTATTTGTGATTATATTAGGATATACCATCGGGGGATTCCCAGCAAAGACAGGTTCTGGGCAGTTGGTGCCATTTTTACCCCACGTCTCGAACTGGCTGTGACATTCATCTGGGTTGTGCACTTTTACACTTTCTAGAGTCTGGCCTCGCACAATACGCCTACACAGAAACACACACACTGTTATTGCATATATAATGCATGATAATTCTCTTGCTATGCTATTATGTGTCTGTCAACTTGTATTATGACTGAGATATGTCATGATGCTTCAATAAAGGCTGCTAGAAAACCTGCCTTTTAATAGCTTAAAACTACGTCTATCTATGTATTCACTGGCATGAATGAGCAGAAATGAGTCTGTGTTTTCAAATCATCCCTTCTTAGCATTGAGGAGAAGGCGTGCAAGAGTTGTGCAAGCGGAGAACGCAAAAAAGTTGAGAATTGCCCAACTTTGTACAGTACATACAGTACAAGGAAAAAGCATAGCATCTAATCTCTGTGAGTGACACCTGTCAAAAACATTCCAAAATCTGGCGGATTCAGTGATTAAATCACATTTTACATATTACTATTTTTTAATTCAGATGCAGTTTGCATGCTTTCATGCTGGCACAACCCAAACGTGTATCAAGTTGATAATGTACATACACTACTGTTCAAAAGTTTGGTTTCACATGATCCTTCAGAAATCACTTAATATGCTAATTTGATGCTCAAGCAACATTTCCTATCATCAATGTTGAAAACAGTTATGCTGCTTAATATTCTTGTGGAAACATCTGCGATACATTTTTTCAGGATTCTTTGACGAATAAAAAGTTCAAAGGAACTGTGTTAGATCCAACTCGTCTTTACCGTCATATTTGATCAATTTAATGCATCCTTGCTGAATGAATGTATAGAATAAATTATTTAGATGTATTAATGCATTTGTTTATTCAAAATAAGTACATTTCAATTAAACACAGTTTTAGTTTTGATTTTTAATTTAAAAAATGTTTAGAATATTAATTGATCTAAACCCTCACCCGACTCCATGAAGCACCAAACCAATGAAAAAGAGGATGAACAGGTGATGGGTGAACCAGAACACCTCGAAATATGACCTTCTGATGACCTCCATGGAGGAAGTGATGATGAGGATGAGGGCGAGGGTGATGACCACCCCTGTCAGTCCTGCTATAGTAGTAAACATCACTATGGTTGGGTTCTGGGAAATCACAAATACAAAAATGACAACATAAAACATTACTCAAAATGTTTTACATTAAACACATCATTACATTAAAAAGAAACAAAGATAAAGTAGTTTGCAAAAATCAAAATAGTGCAATTTCAGACTACCATTACACTACCATTCAAATG